TCAAATTACTGTACAAGTGTCATTCATTGAGGGACTCAAGAGCTTCCCTCACTAGCAGTCTCCCAAGGAGATTTACATATTTCTGAACTTTATGGATGCATAACCCATAAAGGCAAATCCAAAAGGAGATTAGGATTTAGATTCTGAAACAAACTATGGGCCCAAAGGTCCCGAAAGAGCTCCCAGTCAAGAAGGTCCATGGCTGCAAAATTGGGGCCCCGGATCTGCCCGACTCCACTCAAATTCTGCTCTTGTATGAATGTAAAAGACAAATGGAAATCCCTGTATGCATCATGGACTGAATATGGACCTGTGTTAGCAGCCTTATCTCTAAGGTTCAGCTATAGCAGAGAGAGTTATTACTCAATCCGGATTGTACTTGGTGTAAATATTTAATATACACACATAATAATACAGAGATCTGATTCTTTCTGTCACACGTTTAGGGTATAGACAATGATTGTGCTTAGTTTTTAAAAAATTGCTAGAAGAAAAAAAATCCATTCATTCACAGTGCAAACAGTAAGCCTTGAAAAACGATACAAAAAATCGCTATCCTGCTTCCTTCTCCAAATCCAGTTAGTGCTTTTTCTTTAAACCTTACAAAAATACATTCATTTTATGAACAAAAATACAACTTTGATAATTAATACGATAAAATAACTCAGCACTATTCAAATTATAAAAATATAGTTATATGTTTTATCTACAAAAATTTCTGCCATATTTTGATGATATTCATTAACACTGTCATATGCAAGGTCAGGACTATTTGTATTTCCATTAGAAACCCTGACAAGTTTCTTGCCAGAAGCAGAGGTAAGGTGCGGTTTTATAACTCAGAAAGCGCACACTGCATAGGGCTGAAGTCTGATGTGTATTATGCAATTTGTAAACCCAGTTGAACAGCTGATATAGTACACATTGCACAGGCCATGGTCAAGTTAAAAAATGTCTAAGGCTATGTTTTAGTCATGGGTATTTTTAGTAAAAGTCATGGACAGGTCACAGGCAGTAAACAAAAATTCATGGCCCATGACTGTCCATGATTTGTACTATATACCTCTAACTAAAACTTGGGCTGGGGGGCCACAGGTGGTCGGGGAGGGGGGGCAGTCCGGGGGCGTGGCAGGTGATGGGGGGTGGCCCAGGAGCCCCGCTGGTGCTGGGGGGGAGGCGGGTGGCGGCATGCGGCCCGGGACCCCTGCTGGTGCTGGGGGTGGGGAGGGCGGCGGGCAGCCTGGGACCCCCACTGGTGCTGGGGGCAAGGCGGGTGGTGGCGCGTGGCCCGGGACCCCCTCTGGTGCTGGGGGGAAGGCCAGGTGGCGGCACGCAGCCCGGGACCCCTGCTGGTGCTGGCAGAGGGTCTGGGGGGTGGTGGCGCATGGCCCGGGACCCGTTCAGGGAGGGAGGGTTGGCGGGGCTGGCAGGCTCCCTACCTGGCTCCACGTGTCCTGCAGCTCCTAGGGGGAGGGAAGGCCGGGGGGCTCCCCATGCTACCCGTCACGAGTTCCGGCTCTGCAGCTCCCATTGGCCTGGAACTGCAGCCAATGGGTGCTGCGGGGGCGGCGACTGCAAGTGCGGGCAGCGCGTGGAGCCCTTTGGCCCCTCTGCCTAGGAGCTGCAGGGATGTGCTGGCCCACCCCCTTGCTCCCTGAGGTAAGCGCTGCCCTGCACCCCAGCCCCCTGCCCCAGCCCTGAGCCCCGTCCCATACCCAAACTGTCCCAGCAGTGGCTGGTGCTGCTGGCCCAGGGGATGCCTGATCTGCTCGAGCAGCCCTGGAGCCAGCCACACTGGCCGCTGCAGAAGTCACGGAGGTCATGGAAAGTCACGGAATCCGTGACTTCCGTAACCTCCATGACAGACATGCAGCCTTAAAAATGTCTAATCAAACATGGTCTGCAGTTTCAGCTACCCTTCTATTAAAAAACCCACCAAGCTAGGTCCTTAGCTTGTATAAATGGATGTAGTTCCATTGACCTGAAACTATGGATTTATAGCAACTGAGGAGCTAGCTCTCTAGCTCAGAGGTGGGCACAGGCCCCTCCTGCCCAGCCCCTTAGCTCCTAGGCTAGCCCCCAGCCCCTCCCCTGCTGTTCCCCCGCCCCCGCAGCCTCAGCTTGCACTGCTGCCGATGCAATGCTCTGGGCTGCGAGCTCCTGGGGCAGCGTAGCTGCAGAGCCCGGGCCTGACCTGGTCTCTGTGCTGCGCAGTGGTGTGGCTGGCTCCAGCCAGGCAGACGTGGCTGCCTGCCCTGGTGCTCTGGGTGGCGTGGCTGTAGCGCCGCCAGCCACCGGTGCGCCAGGCAGCACGGTAAGGGGGCAGAGAGCAGGGGGGGGGTTAGATAGAGGGCAGGGGAGTTCGGGGTGGTGGTCAGAGGGCGGGGGTGTGGATAGGGGTCAGAGCGGTCAGAGGGCGGGGAACAGGGGGGGTTAAATGGGGGCAGGGGTCTCTAAGGGGCAGTCAGGAAGGAGAGGTGGGATTGGATGGGGCAGCGGGGGGCAGTCAGGGGCAGGAGTCCCAGGGGGCCGTCAGGGGGCGAGAAGCCTCTCCTAACCGTCCCTCCATACAATTTTGGAAACCCGATGCAGCCCTCAGGCCAGAAAGTTTGCCCGCCCCTGCTCTAGCTAGTAACATTTGCATTGCAAAAAGTTAAATTGAATAGGCAACCTGGCTTCTACTAATACTTTGTTGTCTTAAAAGTGGAATATTTAAAGACACCAAAATTACCTACAGGTATAGATTGGCACTTCTAACTTGTTTGTTTTCTACAGTTTCGCTGCTATGTAATATTACTTGCATAACAGAAAACTAATATTTTAGAATATAATATCGCTCGGTTTCAAATTCTATCAGACTCCAAATTGACAAAGCTGCTTATGATTTGTAGTCTCTCAAAGACAAATGCCACAAGTATACAGATACCTCTGTTTTGTCCATGAAATAAACCAAAAGGAGATTTTGGCTTCAATTCATAAAACTCTTATACATGTGGTTAAGTCCATCCTTAGTCAACAAGCATTTAACCATGTGTTTAAGTCTCATTAAAGTCAATAGAACTTAAGCAGATGCTTAAGTGCTTTGCTAAATGGAGACGGTTCGCTAAATCAGGCATTAGATTTTAAACTGTATTGAGAACTTTCTACTACTAAAAAGAAACAAAAGACCCCAGTGAATGCATTAATTTCACTTCACAATGTCTTTCAATAAAAGGCTTCCTGGAATCTAGTCTTGGTATCATCACTAAATTGCTGGATGACCTTGAGCAAATCACTTACAGCCTAATCCAACTCCCACTGACTCCAATGGGAGGTGGATTAGCTCTTAATCTCTGTGGGTCAGTTCCCCCCCTGCAAGATGTGCACAATAGTATGTACCCCTTACAGGGGTGTGGTGAGGCTTTAATTAATGCTTCTAAAGCACCTTGGCTCAAAAAGGCACCAACTAGATAACCGGTGCAGGCTTGTTATTCTAAATTGCTACATATATGCTGAGAATTTGTAGCATTGCTGCAGCTCTCAATAGATGCAGGACAGCGTTCTGTATGTGGGAATCAGGGCCGGCACTACTGTTTTTGCCGCCCCAAGCAGCGCACCGAATTGCCACCAAGGACGGCGGGGACAGTCCATGTGCCGTTAGGGTGGCACACGCATTTCCGCGGCGGCGGCAATTCGGCGGCAGCTTCTGTCTTCAGCCGGAAGACAGAAACTGCCGCCGAATTGCCGCCGCGGGCAGCTGAACATAGAAGCTGCTGCCGAATTACCGCTGCAGCGGAAAAGTGCTTGCTGCCCTAACGGCACACAGACTGCTCCCACCGTCCGCGGCGGCAATTCGGTGCGTTGCTTGGGGTGGCAAAAACACACGGACTGCTGCCTCTTTCAGATTGCCACCCCAAGCACCTGCTTGGAACGCTGGTGCCTGGAGCCGGCCCTGGTGGGAATGTGTGCCTCATACAAGTAAAATACAAAAATGTAGGGCCTAAATTTCCAGAAGTGACTAGTGATTTTGGGTGCTCCAACATGAGCTGCCTGAAGTGGGCCTGATTTTTAGAAAGGGCAGAGCACCCACACTCTGACAACTGGGCACTATGAAGTGTCAAGGGGGCACTCAAAAACTGAGGCACCCAAGACCACTAGTCAATCACTCTTGAAAATGTAGACCTCTATTAATATAAAAGTTTGACTTAACGCCCCCCAAATAAAGTCACATTAAAATCAGGTTTGGAGCAGTTATTTGTGAGAACGTTTTCAACATGCGGCTCTGTTACCAACTGCATCCAGGGCTTGTTGGAACTCAAAAAGAAGCACTAAATCTTACATGTTTATAGCACATTTCATCCTCAGAATCCCTAAGGGCTTTACAAACTTAAACAAATTATACACAAGAATCACGTCCATCAGCCACCGAAATGCAGACACTTCTGGAGTGACACGTAGCAAATCTGCAGCAAACAGTTTAGAAAAAAGTGATGAAGAATACTGTATCCAACAGAGGCGACCAGGATAATTTAGGTCAGAAGAATGTAATCTCCTGAGTTAAAGTTTGGCCAGGACACCAAATTTAAATACCCCTGGATCTTGCCAACAGTTCCAGAAGAAATTTAGTGATTGCAAGACTTTGGTTTTATGTCTCATACAAAACACAGCATCTTCAGAAGCAGGTTATCCTCAGTACAGTGCTGGGGCTTTGGTTCAGCACTGACAAGAGGGAAGAGTGCCACCTACTGAATCTTTCTAACACCACTTTAAGGGCATCAGAACACTGGATGAAGTTTACATACTTAGGAACTGTGAGCATCCCCGTGAGGCACCCTATTGGCTGTCCTCAGAATCTTCGTATTTTGTCAGTCAAAATCAGATCCTTACCATTAATGTAACAGAGCCCTTTGCACTTGTGTACTGGTGCTTCCAGTATCCTCTAATAAAACTTAAGTGGGATAACTCAGAAGACTTTCCATTCCTTCCTTCCACCCCCCAAGTACAGTGCTTTGGAATCTGAGGTCAGACTTCGGTTTGAAAAGTCACTTCTCTCCGAACTTTCATATCCAGGTATCCTCTTCGTTTTTGGAAAGGTTGTCAGTGCTCGGATGACTCCTTCTGTAAAAAGCAGAGAGGATCACAGGTGAAGAGATTTCTATTTTTCCCTGCTGGCTGTAATTTTACTGTTATTTTTTTAGCTAAACTTACAGGCTAAAATTTAGCAACCTCAAATAATAAACAGAGAGAAGGTGAGAACCTCTAGCAAGGTATGTTTATTATATTGTCTTGACCAATTTCCACATCTGGTATTTTAAGATCATACAAAGGAGAAACAGCAAAGACCTATTATATTACCTAATCCATCATCCAGATAGGGGGGATTGTTCTACAGTATATTTTGAGGACTTAATATTGTCTTAAAGATGCTCAATGACGGCTGAGGGTTTACTCCCCTCACCCTTGATATTTGGCCTATTTTTTTTAATTGGACCAGGAGTCTTCCAGGAAGAAAAGGAAAGGAAAAGAAAATATGAATAAATATAAAAAACATACAGAACAAAAGCTTAAATCTCACCCTATCACAAGATTTCAGACCTTCTTTACACACCAGAAAGAAAAAAAGTGTCACATTTTTCCCATATGCAGATAGCTTAGGAGAATATAATTAAACATGACCTAAGAAATATCCCCTTCTGGTTTCCACTGGGTACAATATTCTCCACGTCCAAGCTTAAACTTTAGTATAATGGTGCTGTGCTATGCTTCACCCATGGAAGGCTGGTGGATTATGCGATTTCTGTGCATTATTTTGTATCATTTAAATTTACAGATTACTTTGGGAAACGAAACAGAAGTAATCTCTTACAAAGACACCCTATATACACAAGGACTCTGCAACAAAGGTAAGATACTAGAACAGTGGTTCTCAAATCTTTGTATTGGTGACTCCTTTCACATAGCAAGCCTCTGAGTGTGACCCCACCTTATAAATTAAAAACACTCTAAAATATATTTAACACCATTATAAATGCTGGAGGCAAAGCAGGGTTTGGGCTAGGGGCTGACGGCTCCAACCCCCAGTTTGAGAACCCTGTACTAGAAAAACGTAATGTTCTGCTAATTTACAGAATTTTAAAAACTTAAAAAACCCCAAAACTATGATAGTAGCTAATAATTTCCCCCACCCTGAATCCTGGCATCCTGTAAGAGAGGCTGCTCCGATATTATTGCCCTTTGCTGCTGAGTCAAACCTACCTTAACAGCTCGAGTGCAAATTCAGTTTCTTTTCGACTTTTTTCAGTGATTGGGTAGAAGAGGAGTATGGATAAGCCTATAACAATGAGGATGGCAGGGACTGCCCCAATCAGTATTTTCAGTGTGAGGATCACAGTGCTGGATTGCCTGCACATCCCTGTTTTATAACCAGCAAACCTATAAAAACACACATACAGACATTGCTGTTATTCCCCTACCTAAAAGGCACTTGGTCACGTTAAGGGCTTTCCCCAATCTCCTGCCCTCACACCACCAACTGAACATCTGCTCCAATTTCTTCTTACACTTCCTCTTTTTATATCTTATCTGCTCCCTTTGGGGGGAGGGGAGTCAATCCTACAGCTACCAACATGAGATTTGTCATTGGTTTCAGCCCTTTGCCCCCTTTCTTCCACTCCTTGTCTTTGTGCCTTCTCTGAAATAATTTCATTACCTTTATGCAGTCAAAGCATGGAACTACATGCTGTTGTTACTACTGTACAGACTTAATATTAACAAAGAGAGACAATAGTGAAATGAAATCCTATATAGCTAGACTTGGAAGGATTAGATTTTTATTGATAAATGTCGATTTCACTGTACACACACAAACTGAGGAAAAAAATATTTCCATTGACAATAATCAAAATGTACACAGAGACAAAATAAGAAAAAATGATCCTTGAGAACTTATCAGAGTTTGATTTAAGGAGATCTATTTTGTATATTCTGACGTGATGTTGACCATTTGTGTTTTAACGATTATAAAGCTGTAGCTTTTTGAATCTCAACATTTATTGTCATTAAATAATGGTCTGATCTCCCCCCATAATTTCCCACAACTGTGAACATTTAAATAGATAAAAATAAAATAAAAACTTAAAACCCATAATTTTGTGCCACTGTGAACATTTAAATAGATAAAAATTGAAAAAATGCTTAAAATAAATATTGATTTTATCCATCAGAATTATAAAAAAACAAAAATTTAATTCTGCCAAGTCTCTGTATAGGGGAGCTTGTCTGATAAGTGAATCCTTTCCCTACTCAATAAAGCTCTTAAGCATGTGCTTAACTTTAAACGGAGGTGAGTAGTCCCTCTGGCATCAACAGAAGTTCTTACCTCCTTAAAGCTAAGGACATGCTTCAGGGCTTTGCTGAACAGGGACAGGATTACTCTGATGCTTAAAGTTAAGCATGTACTTATGTGATAGGCTGAATCAGGGCCAGAGGTGTGCATAATATTACAATTACTGATGCCCTGAGCTGTTCAGTGCCAACTTGTGGAATTATTCTGTTTCATCCTGAACATGCACCTATGAAAAATTATTACCCATTTTCCATCAAACTGCCTCCTATGCTCTCCCATAAATGTCAGCTCTGGACTCCAGCAGATGGCAAACTGCTGGGAGCTCGCTAACTGGAGTGAAGTAGCGTTAATCAGTTGACAGTAATTCTGTTAGTTATGAGCTCTCCGTATGTAGTCACTAAAACAGAGACTTGTTTTCTTGAGGAAAAAAAGCACTGCAGCATCTGCTGCAAATTCATAACATCTTGTGGACAGATAAGTACTGACAAGTGGTTCCCAGTGCAGTCTACACGGGAGCTACTACATCCCACTTTCTTCTCATTTTGGTTCTCCAGTCTTAAACTGGAGTAGCAGTGGCAGAAGACACATAGTTAAATCACAACTGCCAACTGGGACTTGATCTCCTGCTCTACATAACGTGACCTCTATAGTGCAAAGTCAAGGTCAGCGTGGAGCGGAGGTTGTAGGGTTACAGCACTGTGCAAGAATTTGGAGGACAGCTTAAAACTGCCCTGTAGTGACCAGTTCCACTTTTCAAGCACATTTCAGAAATATCTGGTTAATTACACTGGCTCTATTTGAAAAGTGATTCGAGACATTAATCTGGCTGGTTGAAATTTTTCCATTGGATATTGGGTTTTTGATGACATGAAAGCTTTAAAAGGCATGGTCTGCTTTTCCTAGAAAAAATGCTAGTTTTGTTCAAAATAAAATTAAATCTAAACAGACTAAACAAACAGTGGGAGGAGAAACAGAGGGCCAAAGAATTGACTTGCTTGAAGTCAACCTAGGGAGGTGGTGGAATCTCCATCCTTAGAGGTTTTTAAGGTCAGGCTTGACAAAGCCCTGACTGGGATGATTTAGTTGGGTTGGTCCTGCTTTGAGCAGGGGGTTGGACTAGATGACCTCCTGAGGTCCCTTCCAACCCTGATATTCTATGATTCTATAACAAAGATGGCCTGAGGCAGAGTTGAGAACAGAACCCAGGTCTCCTGACTCTTAGTGCTCAAACCATTAAGTCCATGCTGCTACCTAAATGTAAGCGGGGGAATGGTCCCGCTATTGTGGGGAACTTTCCTGGCTTCTGCACTACCCCGGTGAAGTGGACTAGCGAAAGGATCCGAGTCCTCGCTCCCACTTCCTTTACCCAGAGGCCTCCCTGCCCTTGAGGACTCCCCTTCCACTCTCCTGTCTGGCAGAGTCCTCGTAAACCCCGACAAAGCTGGGCCCAGGATTCCTGGAGGGCTCGACCCCCAACCCTGCGGTGGTTACCCAGGACAGGGGCTAGGGTGTCCCCACTCCGGGGTACTTTCTCTGCACTGGGCACCTCCCTGACCCACTGATCATTTCATACAATTTAAAGCAAATACAAGTTGTTTAATTAACAATTAATTTTAAAAAAGAATAAGGAAAAATGGGAAAGGTTAAAAGAAAACACATCACCCCGCTCTGTGGCAGGGAACATTACAAACAGTGTCTCTGGAACGTCAGGGCAGTTCACAGTCTGTTCCTTGTAGGTCCCAGGCTCCTTCTCAGGCCCTGGCTGTGCTGCAGAGACGCTGCGGGTTGGACACTTGCTCTGGCGGTGGCCACAC